AGAGAGAGAGAGAGAGAGAGAGAGAGAGAGAGAGAGAGAGAGAGAGAGAGAGAGCAGAGAATAGCTGTGTTATAAGAAGGATGAGTAGCTAGGGGGAGGGAAGCCATGACCTTAGGCTAACGGCGAGGCTAGTATGTTAGTGTGCAATTTGAAATGTGTAATAGGTACTTGTGATATGGGCAGCATGGGCTTTTGATATGCTCATAAATGCCACAGATAACCATAGGTCCCTTCTGCTGGAGGTAAGGGAAATGACTCCTTTTGGCAGATGGAAATGGATTTCACTATTTCCTGAGGAATGCTGGCTTTTATCTAACCACCAGAAATACTCCTGTAGTCTGGGTTGAGCTTGTGTCTGGATATTTGAACTGCCTTTTAGAGTTTGGAGTTCCTTTGGTTCTGACATGAATTTCTCTAGGTTTATCTCATCTACAAAATAAAGTAGTACCCACTTCACAGAACCATTGCTAGAATTAAATAAAATATGCAGAGTATTGTATATATGCCATGGGCATGCTCTGCACTAAGGAAGCAGTTTCTATGATTTCTATAGACAGTGTTGTTTTTCTCTTATCCCTTTTTATTATTAATATGATGATGATGATGATGATGATGATGATGATGATGATGATGATACAGGGTCTCTGTGATGATGGCAATGATGAGGACGATGATACAGGGTCTCTCTGTTTAGCCCATTCCAAGCTTGGAACTTAAGGCAATCTTCCTGCTTGTCTGGGATAGCAGAATGCTAGGATTAAAGGTGTGCACCATCATGCCTGGCATGATCAGTGTCTTGAGTGAATAGCTATGGCTATGGTTTCCCCATATTTACTTCCCTTCTATTGTGACTCTTTCCTCAGCTCCCTTTACACACACACACACACACACACACACACACACACACACACACACACACACACACACTCCCCATTTCCTATTTCCTACCTGGGGGATTAGATTTCTAGGGGAAAAAAATGAGAATGCCAGGCAGGAAATAAGAATTACAAATGCTGATGTTGCTGCTACATGGGCTTCAAGTATAGTCATGGGCAGAAAGGGAGTTGGTAGTTGAGGTCCATGAAGAGATAAAGTCATTCTGTGTTTACTTCAGGTCCTGTTGGTGAATCTTTGTGAAGGAACCTTCTTATTGTCGGTAAGTGTCTTCATTGAGGGCACCTGCAGGCCTGCCACCAACAACCTTTTGGGTCTCATCATGTCCCACTGATCTCAATAGACACTTTGAGAAAGAACTTGTGCTATGTCTTCCTCTCATGAGGCCACAGGCAAAGACCCAGATGCCTTGCTGATTGAGGCAGTTAGCAACAGTGTCTTTTGAGCAAGCAATATACACTTGTGGGAATCCCTTGCTCATGCTTGAATTCAAGCTGGGGTAGAAATGACTTCTGTTCCTCTCTGTAGAGCAGAGGTTTGGGGTGGGGTAGGGGAAGAACTCATACATTCCTCACACTCTCCTGGACCCCTTCCTAACCTCCTGACCAGAATGCTTGACCTTGACATAGCTCTGTTCTCTTCTAGGTTGGTGATGAAAAAGACATCCTACCACCAAAACTTCAGGGTGACATCTTGAACTCTCTTGGTCAGGGGATAAATGAGCTAAAGAGTAAGTTCTAGGCTCTTCTTTTATTTTAGGCTTCTCCATGGAGTTGGAGGGAATACTCTGTTTGTTTATTAATAAACTCATTTAGTAGTTTGTGTCAGGGGACTAGATCCTGAATATGAGACTTTGTTTCTTTTCCTAGGGAATGGTAGAGAATCTATACCCAGTTCCTAGACTCCTATTTCTTTTCTTTTGTGATACATGGTCTCAAATTTGTGGCAGTCCTCCTATCCCAGACTCCTGAAATTTGGTATTATAGCTGTGAACCACTCAAGTGTCAGGCTTCCATTTCAATAAGTTATTTACTAAGCTGCCTCCCCTGGGAACTTCTGGACAATGGAAACTATACTTTGAGGTGAATTTGGGCCATTTCATCTTTATATTGCTCTATGATGGGCCTTTCTGTCTCCTGCAGCTTCAGAACAAATCAATGAGCATGTTTCAGGCCCTTTTGTGCAGTTCTTTGTCAAGACTGTGGGCCACTACGCCTCCTATATCAAACGGGAGGCTAGTGGGCAAGGCCACTTCCAAGAACGATCCTTCTGTAAGGCTGTCACCTCCAAAACCAAGCGCCGATTCGTGAAGAAGTTTGTGAAGACACAACTTTTCTCCCTGTTCATCCAGGAAGCAGAGAAGAGCAGGAATCCTCCTGCAGGTACACACAGCCCCACCAACTTCTCTGCAAGTATCTCCTGTAAGAGGTGTCCTGTCAGTGAGGCTCAATGGAAATAACCAGAGAAAAAGCTCCAGGGGCTGGTAGAGTTGTCCGTTCATCACTCAGCAGTCTGGGTATTCTGGAGCTAATTACTATTTGTAGGTCCCCTTTGGGTCAGACTAAATGTGGTGTGGGTCCAGAGATCCTGGCAGCTTATGGGTAGGGGAGAATATGGGGCCTTTCTGGATTTTTGAGACAAAAATTCTCATTAATAGCCTCAGCTTGTCAATAACTAGGATTGTAGACATGTAATTCCACACATCAGACGCCAGGCCTTTTGCGAGTACTTATTCCTAAGCTCATCAGTCTGCCTAACTAACACCTGTTTGAACCCACAGGCTATTTCCAAAAGAAAATACTTGAATATGAGGAACAGAAGAAACAAAAGAAATCAAAAGAAAAGACTGTGAAGTAAAAGCCATGGTGAGCAACAGTGTCTACAGCTACAGGCCAATTTGGACTTTGGCCCTTCTGGTGTGACAGGACCAGAGAGCCCCCTCAGTTCTGGAATCCATGGCTTCCTTCCAACTGGTAATCCAGTCCTGCTTCAAAGTGGTGTCTGAGTTTGGGATCCTTGGTGTCAGGATTTCTCAGAACTTTGAGAACTCTCATCCAAGCTCATAGAACTGTACTCAAAGCTGCAGTTTTAGCAGAATGGACACAGTGATAAACAGTAGTACAGTTGTGGGTGCTTGATTAGAAGTTGCCGCCAACGCCATCTCCTGGGAACCACTGTTATAGAATCCTCAGCAGAGAACACTGTTGTGGCCCAACAACCCATGTACAAAATAGTGGTCTGACATGTGAGGATGAGAATAAAGATGAAAACCTTGTTGTTTGTCAATCTAGGAGGCACTGCATGAGAGAACAAACTGAACTAGACATGGAGGAGGACATGGTCACACAAGGCTGTTTGGAATCACAAAATCAGGGGTCAGCATCTCCACTTCTAGTAGGAAGAGTAAGAAATCTTGATCAGAGTGGCTACAGCATAGTAGTCTTTGGTACTAGTCAAGTGTGATTTCCAGCATCCTGAGTAGAGACTGCGAGGAGGAAGGAGGCAGCTTTGGCCTCAGACAAGTTAATGGAGAAAACCCAGTCAACAGAAGCCCTTGAAGGATACTTCATGACTTCCATAAAGAGGCTAGAGAGGCTAGACTGCCCATAACCAAGCCAAGGATAGTCCTTTACCTTCAATCTTAGGCATTTCACCTCAACTGCTTATTAAGGTTCCAGTACCACTCTCTAGCTAAACATGGAGAGATCCCTGCATTGAAAATTTCCCCCTTTACAATCCACAGTATTTAGTAGTTATCTAGGCCTTCTTTTTCTATACCTCCCTTTATGATTTGTTTAAACCTATAAGAAAAATATCTTGTCTTCTAGAATTCTATCTTTGAAATGTTTTTCCTCCCTATTTTTTTATGTCGCCTATGGAAGTTTCTGAATTCCATACAAAGAATGAAAATCATGTGGGGGGTGTAACAAGAGGCAGAGCTACAAAATGGAAGTTTAAGGGATACACTCTGATTTGGGGAACACAAACATCTACTGCAGGTGGTAGATGTCCACATGCCATGCTTAACTGTACTTCTGCAGCTTCTAAGAATCATTGTATCTTATTAGACAGTTTATAGAAGTGGTTGCTAAACCTAGTTAGATATTGAAAAGTTTCAGACCAAGAACCAGAATGCTGTTAAGGCTGTGAAAATACTGAGGCTCCAATATAAGTCTACCAAATTCCCTATGAATCTGGAGTACATTATAGTGGCATAGCCTATAATCCCAGCATTCAGGAGGCTAAGGAAGGAAAACTGAGAGTTCAAGGCTAGCCTGAGCTACTATGGGACCTTGTCCAGAATCGACCTCCCCCACTCCCTCAGAAAATTCTGGAAATGTTTTCTAAAAGCATCCACATTGTTGAATGATTCTCATACTCTAGTAGGTAACAACCAGGGCCAGCTGAGGCTTTCTACAAAGCAATCACTGGCCTAATGATGCTGATGTTATCTAGGACCAAAGGAAGCACACGCATGACTGCTTTTCAGATTCCCTCCATGCTGAGGAAAAAAAAAAAAATACATGTATTTATTTCAATTAGCCTTGAGTACCTCTGTTTATAGCTTTGGTATGGTCTAGAAAACACAAGTTAGAATTCAGAAGATAGCCTAGATTCCATCTGGAGTACAGCAATAATGTGTGACAACTGGTATTTCATTTAGCCTCTCCAGGCCTCAACTTCCACTAGGTATAAACAACTGTTAAATGTCTGCTGAAATAATCAAATAAAACAATAGATGTAACTGTACTAATGGAAGATTACCTGTCCTTCCCCCTCTCCTTTTTCTTAGATTATCTTTATATCCTACCACCCTGCCTCCCACCCCCTGATTTTCTGAGTCTTGTGTAGCTCAGACTCCCCTAAAACTCCATAGTCGAGGATAACTTGAACTTCTGATCCTCCCCCGGCTTCCACCTCTGAGTGCTGGGATTCATTACCCTTTGTACTTCTTTATACTAAAGAAACAGAACATTTGGATATAATGAAAACAAATGTGATTCACAGAGAGCATTCAAACAGTAGTCTAAATACCAAAAAGGAGAATGCAAAGTAACCCACCACCATGCCATTCTGGACAATTACTGAAATTTTGGAGCAGTGACTGAAATATAAAGAACCTACAGGAGAGAAAATGGACAAAACATTTTTCCATTTTAAAAGATTTAACAGTTTCTATAGTAGAGTGGTTAAAGGCACATCATGACAACACAGCTGACCATATTTCCTTAATTGTTAAAGAACAGAAATAAAATTTGTCTCAATTTAAAAAAAATGACATTTAAAATTTAGTTTACTTTTCCCCTGAATAAAACTGAGAAAAAAAGGCTGGCTCTGAGATCATATATTTATTTAAAAAAATAAAATGGATTGACAAAGTTACCACATTATCTGCATGCTAGCAAGATTTCCCAAGCCCGTGAGAAACACCATTTCTTGATCAATAATAAAATCACTTCCTCAACAATGAACAGACAGGAAACTTTTCCATCCAAATTTAAGGTCTTTATCACTGCTCTCACCTCACAAGCTAGTAGGATGTATGTCACAAGCTGAGCTCCTTACAAAAGAAAGTCTGAGAAGACAATAAACAAGGTGTTACTAAAAGATGATGATTTGTTAAAATTATAGAGCAACCATCTTTTGGCCTGCAAAAATTTTACAATAGACTCACCACCACTGGGGATGTGCTCCTCTGACCATGTTAGTCTGAATTCAGGATAATCACAAACACATGGCATTTTCCCTGCATGCTTTCTGGAGCCAAACCCTGTTTAACAACTTGTTCAGTTTACAGGATGGGACCTGGAATTCCCATTCTCAACAGGACAGTTAGGGAGTGTTACCAGTGACAAAGAATGAAAGTTATATAACATTGATTATTATAAATTACATTTGTCCTCATTCACTCCCATTCTCCTTAACATGTTTGGATTCTTTCCTGCAGAAAACATGAGCTTAACAGACCCCCAACCACATCATTAGTGATGATTAGTGTGCGCTGCAGAGGCTTTAATTCTGAAGACATGTATGTGCAGGTGAGATGCAATTTGATTGCAGACACTGACACAGTAACGAATCAAATCAAAGAAAGAGAAGACCTGGAAAGAGAAGAGACGTTTGGTTAGATTCTCAACATGTGCACAGGCCTCCCTAAACTTCCTAAGCGGACAGGAGGGTGGCTTCTGACTGTCTTCTCTTAAAACTCACCTTCAAATTCATACAGCTGAATAACAGTTGCCTCCTGGTATCCTTTATAACTAAGAGTTAACAAATCTTTCCTTAGAGAGACAGTAAATATATCAAGCTTTTAATTATTTATTTTATTTGAGATAGAGGCTCCCACAGCTTAGGCTAGCCTCAAATTCAGAATGTAGCCGAGGAAGATCTTCAACTTCTGATCCTCTGGCTTCCAGTTCCCAAGTGCTTGGCTCACAGGCATTGCCACCATGCCTGACTTTTTAAATATGGTGCTGGGAATCAAACACATGCATGCTAGGCAAGCACTTGACCACTAAGCTATAACTCAACACAATTATTTCAAGCTTTCTGAGTTGCATTCTCTGTCTCAGTTGCTCAACTCTGCCAGTATAGAATGAATGCAGACACAGACAATTTATAAATTAGTGGCTATGGCTGAATATAGTCTGAACTTCTCTTACACACACAATCAGAAATTTGGAATTTTTGAGTCTTAATATAGGTAGGAATAGTAAGACTAACACATGCAGGCAAACACTGAAGTCATAAAGAACTCACAACACATTACAAATGTGGGTTTTTGACATGCCTAGTCATTATTATCATTCTATGACCTCTTAGGACTGGCTCACCTAAACAAGAAAATAGGTAGCTTACAAACCATAAAATAAGACAGTATAATACCTACCAGGGCAATCCAAAGTACAATATATTCATCAATGAAGCTGTTAAAATACTGGTCCAGAAACAAAAGTGCTGGACCTATGAATGCTGTGTCATGCAGATGCATTTCACTTTTCGTCATGTGTGCAACCTGAGAGTAGAACAAAATCAATGAGATAGGTACTTTCATTTCAGAATTGTCAGCAACACAGTAAATCAGTATCATGCTCAAATACGAAGTTTCAAAATGATTTAGCAATAGTCATTGAGTTTGTAAAACTAAAAAAAAAATCAATGTTAAAACTGTATGAGGAAGGGAATAATCATGCCAACTATTGTGGTGGAAAACACTTTTGTACAAAAGGTTTCAATGTGTGTCTAGGCATATAAACTGACTGACCAAGTTAAAGAGTGGACAAGATAGTAAAGGATATACAGCTTCAAAGAACTTCAGGCAAACTTAAATGTAAAGTCAGGAGAGTAAAACAGCTCTTCTGTTGGTGTAGAGATTGATATTGCAAACTCTTATACTACTCAGGAAGCCACAGAATGAAATCCAGGTCCTAAATAAGATGAACATTAAAACAGTAAAAACTGAGGTGCTTACCACAAGCTTATTAGTGATTTTAGCAGACACAAAACCAAATGTCAGAATATAAAGACATGGATGCTTTTCAAACAGCTGAACTGCTGACTTCTTGTAGATCATAACAGCTAACGTGATCACTGATCCAATATGGAGAAAAGGAGAAAGGACACTTGTTCCCTGTATGGAGCAGAGTTAAGAGCATTTAATGCTATCAGATGCTGCATAGACCTACCACAAATACTTTAACCCAAACTTACTAGAACCTCAAGTGGCTGCCAGCTAACAAGTGCAATGAGTTGGATTCTAGACTAGTGAAATGCAGCTGCATAAACTGGTAAAGCATAAACAGGACAGTGCTCGGCAAGTGTAACTTATTTTTACATAGCATGTCATACTTTCCAAAAATGTGTGCTGTGCCCATATATATGAACACTTATCAGCATACAAAAGTATGTATAAATATATATTTTAAAGGCTCAATAGAAATTCTAAGTTGACAAATGATTATATGTCTTTTAAATGTAAAACTGAGTATTGGTAAGAACAAGTCTTAGTTTACAAATCTCTGGAAATCTTAAAGTATACTCACTGCTATGGTGGATCCATTTTTGCCAACACCACCTGTGAAGATTACACGGAAGTAATTTGTACAGGAAAATATGGTCCCTGCCACAGTACAAAGTGCAGGAAAAATTTTCATTTGAACATTCAGCACTGGAATCTTTAATGAATAGAGAGAAAGGACAATTAAAATATATACACATTGAAATAAGAAAGTAGTACAATCAAATATTTATTCATACCCTAAAAACTCTCCATTCCTTATAGTTAATACT